TGAGGGATAATGAACTCCTAGTTTCTCCTGTAGTGGCCCAAGCAGGGGGGCCCACCTACCTCTTGCTCCCCATAGACGTTTCATGAGGAAAAATGAGCTCCTACTTTATTCAGTAGTGACCCAGAAGGAGCGCGACTCCTATGCCTACCATAGACTCTCTATTGAGATACATGACTGGTACTTCTCTGTAGTGACCAGCAGGGGGACGACTCCTCTGCCTCCCATAGAAGTCTATGAGGAAATGACTCTACTTCTCTGTAGTGACCAGCAGGGGGCGACTCCTCTGCTCCCATAGACGTCTATGAGGAAATGACTCTACTTCTCTGTAGTGACCAGCAGGGGGCGACTCCTCTGCTCCCATAGACGTCTATGAGGAAATGACTCTACTTCTCTGTAGTGACCAGCAGGGGGCGACTCCTCTGCTCCCATAGACGTCTATGAGGAAATGACTCTACTTCTCTGTAGTGACCAGCAGGGGGCGACTCCTCTGCTCCCATAGACGTCTATGAGGAAATGACTCTACTTCTCTGTAGTGACCAGCAGGGGGCGACTCCTCTGCTCCCATAGACGTCTATGAGGAAATGACTCTACTTCTCTGTAGTGACCAGCAGGGGGCGACTCCTCTGCTCCCATAGACGTCTATGAGGAAATGACTCTACTTCTCTGTAGTGACCAGCAGGGGGCGACTCCTCTGCTCCCATAGACGTCTATGAGGAAATGACTCTACTTCTCTGTAGTGACCAGCAGGGGGCGACTCCTCTGCTCCCATAGACGTCTGTGAGGAAATGACTCTACTTCTCTGTAGTGACCAGCAGGGGGCGACTCCTCTGCTCCCATAGACGTCTATGAGGAAATGACTCTACTTCTCTCTGGATTTATTCCCTCAGTAAACATTGTAAAAGTAATTCATGATGTCGACAGCAAAATCACTGAACTTGAGGCGTCAAACCAACGTGTAACGTCACGATAACCACGTCCTCTTCTTACAGTCGATGAACAAGCGCAATGACTCCCAGAATGCACTGCTTTCACTGCAACATCAGGTGGAAGAATGACACCGTTCAGGTCACTGTGAAGCGTCGGTTCTCAAAGTGTTTCTGTCACGATCCACTTTGGAGGAAGGAAAACGTTCACGCGCCAAACAAATTATACGTCTTCATTATTATAATAATAATAATAATAACACTTTCAAGTAAACCAGATTATCAGAAACAAAGAAATGAAATGTACGACCATCTCTTTGGAACAAGCGGCCAAAACAAAACAAATATGTGGCAGAAAGTAGTTTGTTG